GCAAGCAGTGTGGAAAGTTTGGAGACCCCTGTTCCTATGCGGGTATATAGCATATAGCATACTTCTGTTTTAATATTATGTACCTACACTCTACAGTCACCTATTTTTTTTTTTATAGGTAATAACGTGAAACATACTTCTCTGACGCGTATGCATAAACATTAAACATCGATAGTTGTAATTTGTAATTAACTGTACGGTCATACAAATTAAGCGTCGAGTACAATACTTTGTATTATACTGAATATGTTACGAGTAAAACTGCAGTGACCAGCTTATTCATTATTGTGCTTATAAATATTATATTGTTGTACCTGCATTCTGACGACTCTAAGTTTATTTGAAAATGGTTTTCCCTACTTTTTAGGGCCTACAGAATAAGTGATCGTTCTAAAGATCATAATATAGAAACATACGATTCTAAAAAAGGTAAATTTCGTATCAATTAAGAATGATATTAAAACCATTTTACTTCGGTTTTTTTCTTTATTAATTGACATTTGACATGTGTGTAGTATTTTTAAAGACAATAATATTGTAATTAATTATATTATTGCTATGTTTTTAACTAAATAACAAGTATCTATATGACTGTATGTGTACCATCATTTAAAATACTCGATTTAAGTGGGAAATATTGACATTATTTTTTACAAATTACAATACAAACAAAATTATAATTTTTTTTTGTTTAAACATAATCGTATATACAGTATACACATATATAATATGTACACTAATAACCTAGCTAAAAATACGTTACACGATACTAACTAAATTTACAAGTAATGTGGTGGAATTCAGAGTTTGAAAATTAAAAAAAAAACAAATTAAACATCATACATCATAATTATCATTTATCAACCATATTTGTTGTTTACATTGAACATAATTTATAAATTTAAATATAAAATCATGTTTGAAACAAAATATTAAACAATATAATTTTTAAAAATATTTACTGAACCTAACTTTTTTTTTTTAAATTACATTTATAGTTTTATAATCTTTAACATAAGGTGTACCCCCTTCAAAATTCCAAACATCTTTATATTAAAAGTAATGTTGTTTGCCTGGCTTTACGTAAATTTGAATATTTGTTCTTAAAAGTTAAAATGTTACTTCCAAATATTGTTTTTGTGTCAGTGCATAATAATAATAATATAATTACATGATGTACCTATAATATATAATAGGTATAAATATATTATGACATGATAAACAAACGTTAAGTAAATAATAATAATATGAAAGATTTGAAGGAATTTACTTCCCAGATAAACGTATTTGTGATTAAATCTAACAAATTATATTATTTTTTAGGTTACTGGCTATAAAATGCAACATTCCGCTCAAATATAGAGATTAAAATAAAAAGGTGGTGCTAAAATTATGTAACTATTGGAGAGTCATTTTTTTCAGGTACTAACTCAAAAAGAGGTTAGTGACTAGGATAATAATTATACTATATACATTGGCAGTTGTATTTTGCGTTGGGCATACACTTGAAGAAGATACATACAGGATTGGGCAAGATACTCAAAAAAAAGTTTCATGATACCTGCATTTAGTGTATCTAGATACAAGATAGGTACATGATACTTTTGTTTTTCCAAATTAATTTTATTAACTATTAAATTGTATAATTATTTTACTGACAGTTGACACAGGCACAGTCACACAGAAGACAGAACAAAAAAAAATGTACAACAATGCGAATAGTACACTGTATTTGCTTATCTTTACTTTTACTTAATTTAATTTTTTATATTATGTGGAAAGATCTAGGTAGCGGGGATTCATATTTTATGAGAACGAAAATTTCATTTTAGTGCTTATCTGTGTATGACTGTAGATAGATATTATAGATAGTTGGTAATTTAATTTAATGTTTTTAAAATTATCATAAAAGTTATAACATTGTATGGTAAAAAACTTCATTATTGCTCATTTCGGTTCAAATGCACTTGGAAATTTTTTTCGTAAATACACAATCCGCGACAAAATTATATACAACACGATATTTCTAGTAAATACACAAAACAAAATTACCACCATTTTGACATTGATTTATGTTCCTGCAAATCAGTTTTCTTGATACTATTATTTAGTACTAACGTTTATAATAAGAGTATCTTGTATCTTTTGGCAAAAAAATATACGTGATACTTGATACTTAAAACTTATGTATCACGATACAAGATACAATTGTATCTTTGATACTGTCCAACCCTGGATACATATTACTGAAAATTAAAAAAAAATGACTGTGTTGGAATATATTACAACAACTTCTTCGTATTACAGAAAACATAAGTAATGGGTTCGAAAAAAAAGAACACACTGGAACCGTTTTCCTAGATATAGCCAAAACGTTTGATAAAGTTTGGCATGACGGTCTGCTTTACAAACTAAAATGCCTTAATACACCGTCAGTTATCTTCAATATCATTAGATCTTTCCTCGATTTGCGCAGTTTCACCGTCCAAATAGAAGACACGAATTCGGATATCAAAAGAATTAATGCAATTGTACCACAAGGATCAAAACTATCCCCAATACTCTTTAACTTATACATATCCGATTTCCTCACAACAATGAACACGGAAATAGCACTGTACGCGGACGACAGTGTCATTAATTCTAGTACCGATAAAATAGAAAAGGTTACAGAAAATATCCAAACTCATCTCAACGAGATTTATAAATGGGCACAAAGTTGGAAAATTATCCTCAACCCAACGAAAAGCTCGGCAGTTATATTCAAGCTGCGAAGGCCCGTCAACTATGATACTCTAAACTTCAACGGCCAAAATATATCTTGGTACCGTAATATCAAATATCTCGGAGTATTATTAGATAAAAAACTTACGGGGAACCCCCACGTGTCTTCCAAATTGCAGCAAGGTTATCAGCGATTGGGAATGCTATATCCTTTGATTAACCATCAAACTTCATTGAGCTGGAAGTGCTCACTACTTTTATACGAACAAATCATTCGTCCCCTAGTTTTATATGCCGCCCCGGTCTGGGGTCAATGCGCTAAACAACTCATATAAACAAAATCCAAGTCCTACGTATAATATCAAATGCTCCATGGTTTGTGAGTGACGAGGCACTGCACCAAGATTTTAAGTTATCAACGATAAAAAAATACATCGAGAAACTTTCGGTTGGATTCTTCAGCCAGCTACAAAAAGCAAGTGGTCCACTTCATTATTGGCTGAATATCCGCCCAAACAACCGTAGACTCGATGGAGTTGATGGAGTCATCGTGGTCGTCCTCACGACGTTTTAATTCAGAGATAGCTACGTTATTGTAATTATTGTATATACTTATTTGGACATGTTTTTTTTTATTTTCTTTCCCTGTAATCGGTCGTATTGTAAAATTGTTATACTTTAATACTTAGTTCTTACTATTTATACCATATATTGTGATCCAATTTTCAAATGTTAAAAAATTTAATTTCATATACATAAGTTTAGATGATGACTGTTAGGAAACTTTAATAATAATAAAAAAATAAAATATATTACATACTAAAAGGTTTATCTGAAGATGACGATACAATAATGAATAAACAGATGGGTTGTATCTAATGAATAATGACTAATACTTATGCATACAGTATAAATATGATTAATGAATTATTTTTCCCTGATAATATTATTAAATATTTTTAGAAAATTGGTTTAATTAAAATGTAAAAACAGTATTTTCAAGTGCTAAATATACAGTTGCGTATAAAATAATGTTATAATAATATTATGTATTCATAAGAATACATTTTATTTTTGTACTGTGATGAAAGACAGTGATGATTTAAAAAAAATTCCTATCATAATAATATAAGTTTTGAAACTATGCTAAACATCATTACTACTGACTAATTTTATTATCATTTATTACACATAAAAACATAACAGTTCTCTGCTGTCACTATTAACTAATAGTGCAGTAAGTTATCAGTGTCCCTTGAGGGAAACTGTCTCATGCCCAACAATTTTTTTTTGGGGGAGTTACCTCTCTAAGGACTTGGTAACAAATATGGGTTTAACCATTTTTCAAATGTATATGTTTTATTAAAGATCTAAAAAAGTGGGGTTGTTTTGACCATGGTGCGGTTAACGTGGGTTAAAATAATAATAAAAAATATATAAAACACAATCATTATGAACTTTCAAAACTTGCATGTGTATGCATATTATAATATTAATATGTAGAATATGATTGTATGCTTGAGTAATTAGAGCATGCTAGCCTATTATCATTTAGTAACTTCATACTTTGTTTGTGCTATTTAAAATATAGGACAAAAAACCTATCTCACAAAAATGTATTTCAAAAATATAAGTAAATATTATTATGTCTTATCGTAAAATATACAAATTATCAAATATGCCAACTATTGCTTGAATATATTTCATGAAATTTATCTATAAATATTGTAAAAGTGGCTAATAAATGATTCACTAAATGTGACTAATTTTGATTTTACAGAGATATTATTAACTTTCTCCAGTGTGTATGCATGCTTTAACTAGGGCACATTCCAAGCATTTTAAATGAGTTCATCATTTTTGATGACACTAAACTATAAAATACTGAATTATCATTTGAAGAGAACACAGACATTGTCCTCTGTTAAAATTCAATGAAGTGTGATATCGGAATACAATGTAACAAACACTAAATATAACACAAGAGTAAAACATGACCTACTTATTTTATTTTGTATCAATACAGAACGAAGCCCAATGAACCAAGAATAGGTGATAGATATCTAAGAAGTGAACAATATAACTTATGGCTAATAATTCAAACTTTAAATACAATTTACTTAGGTAACTTAAGTCCTCATTTTATACACGTTGTATAAAACATGTTAGGGAGAGTGGAACTTATTGAGAATGTTTAATTTTTGACATGCAGGTACCCTCTGATGGGAGTGGATTGGTTTAAATAATACTTGGCCGGTGTGCATGGCACAACTCACCTCGTTGAGCCAACTGTTGTCGATGTGACTATTGACGATCGAACTTGAAGACGAGAAGAAACACACGACGCTCATGTATAGACAAACGTTGACCATCAGCATGAACAAACAGTTAACACTACGGGGCGACATCTTCTCCTCTGAGCTGTTGGTTACTGGTCAGAAAGACACACCACCACTGACCTCTACTGCTCACTGGTGCGTCAGCAAACTTTTGGTGATTGATGAGCTTTTATTGTTCGGCAACCGGCGAGACGTCGTAGCACGTCCGTCGTCGTTCATTGTCCGGAGCGTCTTGTCTTTGTTTTCGGCGATCGTTTGTTGTTCTCAGTTTCTCAGCACCAGTAATAATCGTGTAGTCGTTAAGTATTGTCGAAAATTTCGAACACCGGGACCGTACTCAAACAGAACAACAACAGCCACGATCAGCGTTATCAACGCGGACTGAGAACGGTTATCATTTATATGTTTATAATCTATGGGGCACACGGACCTTCACTGTCGTTGTCGGGCAACGGAAACACGTCAGTGAATTACGACTTACCAATAACCAGTGTTGGTCGCAGGCAGCATTATTATTATCATATAGTTGTACCATTGAGCAACAGCTGCTGCAGTGCTTCATTTCGCCAAATCATAGAACAATATAGAAGCGACACTCGATCAGCTGATGGGTGAAGTGTTTACCTATGATCTGAAGTCCGAACATTCAAACTGTTTCCGTTTACCAACATGATGTTATACTCGTATTGAAAAACCGTCTCCGATTAATAGGCAGGGTATTCTGCGCGGGTCGGGTTGTTTCCAGCATTGAAAAATTGTTTCCACTGTTTACTGTAACGTATGCCACGCCCCTTTAGAGACCATTTTCAAGGCCACAATCTCCCGATCCGACCAATTCACGGAGTGTCGTACCCCTGGCCAAATTAAAGTAGGGGACTCTTGTTTAATTTATACTTATAAAAAAAGCAGGGATGGAAAACGTTTTTAAAAAACGATATTAAACGGAAAAAAACAAAAAACGAAAATAACTAATAAAACAAAAACAAATGAAAAACGATAACAAAAAATCCCAAAAACTGAAAAAAATTTAAAAACGAAAACGAAAATAAATTATAGTATTATACATTATTAAATTATTTTTACCACGAAAAAAAAATTCTTTACTTTTTAATCTTTACCAATGCACTTTTAACATTTAAAAACATTATAATTTAAAATCAGAAATTTTGAATTTTCTAATTTTTTTATAAATTATAATTTTGATTTAAAATTTAAATATTATAAGAATAATTAATTTTAATTTTTAACTTTTAAGTGCATTTCTATATTGCTTGTTACTATTATAACTTAAAAGTTAAAAGTTATAAGTTATAAGAATATAATATAAAAAAAAAATAAATAATATTATCAACAACGTTTAAAAACGTCAACCAAAAGTGATATTTTTTAAATCAATAAACAAACACGAAAACGCAAAAATTAAAAGGTTTTCCATCCCTGAAAAAAAGAATCCAAATAACTTGTTCAATATAAACGTTATTAACCCCCCACACCCATACCTTCTTTTTAAATAATATAAAAATATTTATGTACCTATAGTAAATTTTAAGAAAAAAAAGGTGGGTAAGTGGATGTCACTCTGCTGTACAGTAGGTTACAAATGGGTCACTGTAATGGATGGTGTTCATAGGCGTGCGCACGGGG